GGAAATCTTTTGCCACTAGTTCTGTCCTTCATTCTCACCAGAGAGTTCACACTGGAGAAAGGCCTTATGAATGCAGTGAATGTGGGAAATCTTTTACCACGAGGTCTGTCCTCCGTGATCACCAGAGACTTCATACTGGAGAAAGGCCTTATAAATGCAGTGAATGTGGGAAATCTTTTACCGCTAATTCGGCCCTCCATTATCACCAGAGAGTTCACACTGGAGAGAGACCTTATGAGTGCAGTGAATGTGGCAAGTCCTTTGTCCGAAGAAATAGCCTGAGTGTGCACCTAAAGGTTCACTCAGGTGAAAAGCCTTATAAGTGTAATGAATGTGGGAAATCATTGAAATGTAAGTCAACATTCGTTGAACACCAGAGAATTCACACAGGAGACCGGCCTCATGAGTGCCGTGATTGTGGGAAATCTTTTGCTTCTAGGTCTGCCCTTCGTTCTCACCAGAGAGTTCACACTGGAGAACGGCCTTATGAATGCAGTGACTGTGGGAAGTCTTTTACCACTACCTCTCACCTTCGTTCTCACAAGAGAGTTCACAATAGTGAAAGGCCTTATGAATGCAGTGAATGTGGCAAGTCCTTTTGCCGAAGGAATAGTCTCAATGTACACATCAAGGTTCACTCGGGTGAAAGGCCTTACAAATGTAATGTATGTGGGAAATCTTTGAACTATAAGTCGACGTTCATACAACACCAGAGAATTCACACAGGAGAAAAGCCTTATCTGTGCAGTGAATGTGGGAAATCTTTTAGTTATAGCCGCGCCCTCCGGTATCATCGTCAAAGTCACCTTGCAGTAAGTCCTTATGATTGTAGTGATTGTGGGAAATCTTTTACTTGTAGTTCTTATCTCCGTGATCACCAGAGAGTTCACACTGGAGAAAGGCCTTATAAATGCAGTCACTGTGGGAAAACTTTCACTTCTCGTTCCCTCCTCCGTTCTCACCAGAGATTTCACACTGGAAAAAGGCCTTATGAGTGCAGTGAATGTGGCAAGTCCTTCTTCCAAAGAAGTGCCCTGAATGTACACATAAAGGTTCACTCAGGTGAAAAGCCTTATAAGTGTAATGAATGTGGGAAATTGTTGAAGTACAAGTCGACATTCCTTCTACACCAGAGAATTCACACAGGAGAAAGGCCTTATGCTTGCAGTGAATGTGGGAAATCTTTTTTCAGTTATGGTGCTCTCAGTTACCATCACAGAGTTCACATTGGAGAAAGACATTAGGAGTACTGGGGATGTGGGAAATCTTTCAGCTAAATTTCCAGTCTCATTCAAGATGAGAAAGTATGCAGTAAATAGTGTCTTTATGGGTAGTAACATGAACTAAATGGTTCTGTTCACTGATGTTGATATGTTGACTCCCTGTCCTGTAATGCAATAGGAGTAGCAGGTGATGTCTTTGGGAGGTAATTGATACTAGAATGGATCATGTGTGTGAATTCCTAATGAATGGTTTTAATGTCTTCTAAGTATTCTGAGACAGCTTGCTTCGCCTATCAATCATGTGAGGACCCTTTGGGGAGATCTATAAATCCGGAAGCTGGTCCTCACCAGACATAAAACCAGACCGTATGGGGAATGTTATGGGAGATATCCAGCCTCCAGAAGTGAGAAATTTCTGTTGCTTACAAGCCACCCAGTTTATCATATTTTGTGAGAGCGGCCTCAGCTAAGACACATGTGAAGAATGTGGGTAATGTTTTGGGCAAAGATAACCGTTTCATAAAAATCGGAATTCACCTTGGAGCATGACCACATGAGTGAGGTGAAGGACACCAGTCCTTCAGCTAGACATCTGTCTTCATTCCACACTTCAGAGTTCACACTGCAGAAAGACTCTAAAATGGTGGAGAAGGTGATAGTTCCTTCCTTAGTGTATTATGCTGAGGAGAACCTTATGAGGCAGCCACCTTCCTGAATTGAGTTTTGTTCACCTGCCTGTCCACAGTGGAGTGACTTCCCGTAAGTTCCAGCTATTTGGGAAAGTTCAGAAGTTGTATTGGGTGTTCTGATGCGTCTGAAGTCATTGCTGGAAGTCACTGTCAGATTCTGTGACAGAAATCATTTCACCTCTGCCACCTGGATGGTCCCAGTAACGAACATCTGTCACCACCCAGCTTAATGACGCTGACCACTTTGCTTTGTCGTTTGCTGATGGAAGTTATGGGTACTGGGATCTCCTCATTGCCTTCTAAGTTAGTGCATGGATGTGACCCAGTGTTGACCCTCCGTACCTCTTGAGTTCTGGATGGTGTTTTGCAGAGAAAGAGTAAATATTTTGGGGACGTTGTTAGTCTCCTGAGGATTGTGATAAATCTTTGCAGCTTCTAAGTCAGCAACACAGGAATTGGGTGCTATGTGCTGCTCTGGTTTATGCATTACTAAATGCCTTTTTTGTTTAATTACCATTAGTCTTAGGTGTTAAATTCACTTTAAGGGGGTGGTGTGAAATTAGAATTGAGCTCTGCCAGACATAGTGAACAGAGTTCATTGCCACCCAAACTTACTGTGTCTCAGAGTGGATGATTGCAAATAAACAATACAGAGGTCAGTTCTGCTCTCCAGCTTGGGCTTTAATTTGCATTAAAACTCAAGACCTTTGTTATGGGCTAAATTCTGTACCTAACATTCATATGTTAAAGTTGCAAGCCCCAGTACCTCACAATGTGACAGTGTTAGCTACAGCATCTTTAAAGAGACCATGAAGTTGAAATGGGTTATTAGGATGGACTCTTAGGCAGTATGACTGGCTTCATGATAAGAAGAGATGAGGATACAGGCACACACAGATGACCATGTGAAGAAAGGGAATCCCCAGATCTAAGCCAAGGACAGAGGCCTCAGAAGAAACTAACCCTGCTGACACCTTAGGTCTAATTTCTAGACTCCAGATTTGTGGGAAAATAAATTTCTCTTGTGTAATCACCCAGTGTGGGGTCCTGTGTAATATCAGTTCTAGCTAATACAGCCTCCCAGGATCCACATCTGGGTTTTGTGGTCTGGATGCTAGCAAGTTTTGTGTGCTCAGAGGTCACCATGAAGAGGGAGCAGTTGAGACCATTCCAGTGCTGTGGAAACAACAGGAATATTTTGCTTCTCCACAGCTGATAGCACAGGATGCCAGGCGCTGTTGAGTGGAATCTCTACCCCAGATCCTTCAACGGAGCCTTGTGACCTGGTGTGCAGTATTCACTTGTAACACCACGGGCAGGGGAACTGTAATTGGTAATCTGGATGATTGGGCAATTAGGGAGCAGAGGAGACACCAGCCACCTAGGTGGTGTGTATCTCTTAAAAAAGTGTATCCACAGATGTTGTAGTGACTGGCTGGGCAGGATCAGTGTGCACAGAAATTCTCCACTTTCAGACACACGTATCCTGTGTGACAGAGGTCCTTGTCATAAAATAATCCCAAAGTCTCTGAATTCTTCTATCCTCTGTGGTGCTAACATGTCAAGGCCGTTGTGACAAGTGAAGGCAGGAAAAAGGTAAAGACAAGGGAGAATTCATCCTCCAGGAATGTAGCTTTTGTGACCCTGCCCAGTCAGCGTTCTTGTTGGTATCCTAAAGGACTGTGGCAGACACCTGTTCTGAAACATCCTCTTCCCAGGGTGTCTCCCAGGTACTCCCTAGCCTCTAGGGCTAAAAAAGCAGATCTTTCTGGAGGTGGTGGTGCGGAGTCCTACTCATGTTATGGTTGCTCAAGATAGTCTTCTGCCCCAAAGTCCATAAATAAACATTTCTCCTCTAGGTGGACTTCTCAGCCTTTTTCGTTGGCCTGAGGGCTGGAGGTGGTTTTGCACGTATGTCCCTTTCCATCAACAGTACTGTTTTCTTCTCTGGGTGTGTACCACTGTTGATCTCTTCATCTGTTTGGAGCATGTGGGTTATTTCCAGTTTTTGACTTTTGCATATTTACCCCTCTGTATGTATTCTTAATGCGGGTAGAGGTTTCATTTCTCCTCTGTTAAAACTCAGAAGCACAGTGGCTAAGTCACCTGTATGTGAGTGTTTAACAGTTTCATGAAAGGGCCAAAGTGGGATCTGAGCTGTTCACCATTTCATTCCCACCAGCCATGTAGGAGAGCTCCAGCATCTTCATTCCCTGCCAGTACTTGAGAGGGAGGGTCAGTCTTTAATGTCAGCCCTTTTTTTTTTTTCAAATTTTTTATTTTAAAGATTTTATTTATTTGACAGAGAGAGATACAGTGAGAGAGGGAACACAAGCATGGGAAGTGGAAGAGGGAAAAGCAGGCTTCCCGCTGAGCAGGGAGCCTGATGCGGGGCTCGATCCCGGGACCCTGGGATCATGACCCAATCTGAAGGCAGACCCTCAACGACTCAGCCAGCCAGACGCCCCAATGTCTGCCCTTTCAATATGTGTGTAGTGCTGTGTTGTAATTGCATTTCCTAGGTATTTTGCCTTTCAGCATTTTTTTCATGTGTTTATTTACCCCCTGTATGTCTTCTTTGGTATAATTTCTATTTGTATCATTTGCCTGTTTTCTTTGATATGAGTTATGGCTAATTCCCTTTCAATTACAAATAAGACATGCATACAACAAAGATAAATGTTAGAATTTTTCTCATTCTTACATGCTATGACATTTTCTCTATGGGTTCATGGTAATACTGGGAGGCTATTTCTTCATTATTTTTCCTGAGATTTTTTTGTGTCCTGCACAATATCATTCCCCAAAACACCTTACACATTTAAGTCTATGGTGCATTCTTACCATTACATCATCATTTTCCTAAGTCCAGGCATTCAGAAAGACAAAAAAATCCATCCATGCTCTGCAGTGTTTGCTGATTTCAGAGTGTAAATTCTCCCAATGTGAGAGCGGGATATGTTCAGACAAGGGGCTGAAAAACTACTTGGGTGTTTGGTGGAAAACTAAAGCTTGGCGTGTGCAGGAGACTTTACAAGGCCAGGCAGACAGCAGCTGTGGGGGCTGTGAGCTGGCTGGAGGTCTGCAGGAGCCTCACAGGCAGGAGACCTTAATCCTGACAGGCCAGAGGGGAGGGACGTCCCTGAACACCCTGACTGGTGACTGAAAATCTGGCTGGTCTCACCTTATAGTCACAGAGTCGTCAGGCGCACCCACTGGGTATCAGAGTTACTTCCTCTGATCACGCATAGTACACTGGAAGAAATTCTCACTATGGAACGCCAGCCTCCAAGTGATTTAATTCCTTCTCTTTCTGTAATGGTTGACTGCGGGTCCCCAGCGGAGTCTACATTCTGTGCATCTCAGCAGTAGCCTGGGCTGTGTTTCCAGACCTCAGATTAAGGGAAAGACCACGGTGGGGAGGGGGTTGCATTGGGGCCACTTCGCACCTCCCCTTGGACTGGAAGGGCTGGGAGTCAGGTGGGGCCGAGTATCTCCCCAAATAGGAATCCAGGCAGAAAGTCTCCTCTAAGATCAGGAGTCAGTGTTGTTGCAGTTTTTGTTTGTTCTCTCCCTGTGGTGATTTTGAGCCTTTGTTTGACCTTTGCCTTTGACCTTGTGCCTCTTTTTATCCACTATCAGCCTCCACACCAAGTGGCACCCCCTCCACCTGAGGGCTTGTGTGTCAGATCCTTTGCATTTGCAGACTGGGAGATGCACAGGAAGGTCAGGTTTCCTGCTTCAACCTGCAATTGCCACCTGGGCTCTGCATCTCTCGGCTAGTCCTGCACCGTCAGCTTGGCTACAGCAGGGGACCATCTCACCTGTAGTGCACTAGTTCTCAGACTTTAGAAGTCTGGCCCTGACCTCTGCCAGCTGCGCAAGAGAGTGGATAGAGGGGGAAACAGCCAGTATAAAAATCTTTAAGGGGGCGCCTGGGTGGCTCAGATGGTTAAGCGTCTGCCTTCGGCTCAGGTCATGATCCCAGCGACCTGGGATCGAGCGCTGCATCAGGCTTCCTGCTCAGCGGGGAGCCTGCTTCTCCCTCTCCCTCTGCCTCTCTCCCTGCTCATGCTCTCTCTCTCTCTCTCTTTATCTCTGTGTCTCAAATGAATAAATAAAAAAATCTTTAAAAAAAAAAATCTTTTAAGACTGCCCTTAATGCGTGGGCTGTAAAGTCAATGCCTCAAAACAAAATTTTTCATTCCCTACGGTTTTATTAAAAAAAAAAAAAGAGAAGCGCCTGGGTTGCTCATTCGGTTAAGCATCTGCCTTCAGCTCAGGTCATGATTCTGGGGTTCTGGGATGGAGCCCCACGTTGGGCTCCCAGCTCTGCGGGGAGTCTGTTTCTCCCTCTCTCTCTGCCCCTCCACCCACTTGTGCTCTCTCTCTGTCAAATAAATAAATAAATAAAATCTTTAAAAAAAAAAAAAAGGACAGGAGACTAGGAGGAGTTCAGCCTCCTCCCTAAGGAAGAGGTTATTGAGGTCGGGCGCTTTAGAATGGGAACCTGCAGAGGTCTTTACCTCTGCAGGCCCACGTGTGAACGAGGTCGCATCTTGGGGGGTCAGCCTGAAAGGGGCTGAGCATGGGGAGATCAGGGTGGTGTGTCCCGAGGACCTCAGTACCGGGCCGGAGAGCAGGGCTGGCACAGGGATAGAGGAGACACATGGAGGGAGTCAGCACCCTGGGTAGAAGATTTAGGAAGGACCCTCTGGAGGCTGAGTTCCCACCACTGATCCTTTTTTTTTTTTTTTTAAAGATTTTTATTTTATTTATTTATTTGACAGAGAGAGACCCAGCGAGAGAGGGAACACAAGCAGGGGGATT